GTCACTTCAGTTATTGGTTTGTGTTATCTCATGATAAGATCTTGTATCAAAAAGGTTACTGAAAACCGGTAAACGTACCAAAGGATGCAACACAAAAAATTCGGTCTTCGGCGCTCATAATGTTGAAATATCATAGAATTTCACAAAAGATAGCTACATTGCTCTCAAAATAACGATCCATTGATATTCTACCTTATTGCGTGAAATCGATTTGTCTTGGCAAACGTCATCAAATGTATTTACCCTCCGGAACATGATCGTTGTATATTACCTTGAGTACAATCTAGAATTGTTGGACTATAACCCACAGAACATCCACCAATACATTCTCCTGTCACATGATCACACATTGAATTTTTCAGACATTTTCTGATATTACAATTCTTCTGACAACCAGCACCATAGAAACCATCAGGACATTCTAATGTATAAAACAAAAAAGTATATGTAAAACGTTTATCAATGAATTCTATCACATGGATTTCCTCAAATTTGATGATTAATTTGCAAGCTCAAGAATCTTATTTATAACCTGATTTACTTACCTACTGTACAATCATCTTCTTTATAACCTGGTTTACTTACCTACTGTATAACCATGTTCTATATAACCTGGTTTACTTACCTACTGTACAATCATCTTCTTCATAACCTGGTTTACTTACCTACTGTACAATCATCTTCTTCATAACATTGTTTACTTACCTACTGTACAATCATCTTCTCTATAACCTGGTTTACTTACCTCGAGTACAATCATCTTCTTTATAACCTGGTTTACTTACCTACTGTACAATCATCTCCTCTATAACCTTACCTACTGTACAGTCATCTCCTCTATAACCTGGTTTACTTACTTACTGTACAATCATCTTCTTTATAACCTGGTTTACATACCTACTGTACAGTCATCTTCTCTATAACCTGGTTTACTTACCTAATGTACAATCATCTTCTCTATAAACTGGTTTACTTACCTGATGTACAATCATCTTCTCTATAACCTGGTTTACTTACCAACTGTACAATCTTCTCCTCTATAACCTGGTTTACATACCTACTGTACAATCATCCTCTCTATAACCTGGCGTACAGCCATTATAACATTTCCCTGTTATATGAGGACAGTGTTGTGATCCTTTACACTGCCTATTGTCACATCCTTTACTACACATATCTCCATAGGCACCATTCTGGCATTCTAAAATAAAACATAAATGAGACTGTGAATCCTTGTTATTTTATAAGTTTCAGGGAAATGTATTCTGTTAAAATCAAGACAGACTTACTTTTTATACAATCATTTCCTCTATAACCTGGTTTACAACCATCTGTACATTGTCCTGTTATATGATGACATTCTTGTGATCTTTTACAATGTCTCTTGTTACATCGTTGATTACATCTATCTCCATATTTACCACTTTGACAACCTGAAATATAATATAAAGAATTCTATATAGGACTGAGATTTCTTGATATTTTATCATTGATAAGTGTAGACAGTTCGATTCAAAACTTACTCAATTCAATCATATCCTCTATAACCTGGTTGACAACCATCAGTACATTGTCCTGTTATATGATGACATTCTTGTGATCTTTTACAATGCCTATTGTTACATAGTTTACTACATTTATCTCCATAGGCACCATTTGGACAACCTGAAATATAATATAAAGAATTCTATATAGGACTGAGATTTCTTGATATTTTGTTATTGATAAGTGTAGACAGTTCGATTCAAAACTTACTCAATATACAATCATATCCTTTATAACCGGGTTGACAACCATCAGTACATTGTCCTGTTATATGATGACAGTGTTGTGATCCTT